CCGCCGGACCTGCGAGCCGGGCGGGAGGCGCTGCCCGGGCCGCGCCCCCCGCCCCCAGCGGCGCAGCCCCTTTGTGCCGCGTCCCCTCCGGCCGGAGCGGAGGACATGGGCGGGGAGGACGGCTGGGAAGGGAACGCGTGGCTCGGGCCTTGCCGCGTCGTTTGCCCAGTCCTCGTCCACTTGGGGAGAGTGCGCGTGGTTAGGTTGCATTCCTTACGCAGTGTATACTCCTGCGACAGGTAACTCCAGCTAGCGACATTTATACCTTTTTCCTTGAAGTTCCGAGCCGAATCTGCTAAGCCACAGCTGTTAGCTCCTCGGGGGACATTGGGACGCCTGGTTGCCACATCTTAATTTCAAGACAGATCAGAAATGAGAGTATTAACACCTTTTGTAACGGTTTGGGTGAACTTCACCGATTAATTCATATGATCTCAGACTCCATTCCTTGAACTCCCCTTTGAGAATTTGGCTTATGAAGGAATGGCTCTTTCATATAGCACTGTTTCCTTTATTGGGAGCCAGAGGGAACTAGGGGTGGGAGGGCACTAATAGACATTAATTTCCTAGGGTTTTTCCCAATTGCCTGTGCTTTTCTAATTATGAAATACTACATTATTGTAATAGTCGATCTGAAGCCTAGAGTTTTAATGACTTACTCTAGGCTAGACAAGCATGAATGTATACAGCTCTTGACTCTGTAATAATCTGGAATAACCATAATTGACTTTTGGTTTTTTGTTTGTTTGGTTGGTTTTTGTGGTACCAGGGATTGAACTCAGGACCTTGCACTTACCAGGCAGGCGCTTATGCCTGCTGAGCTATTTCCCTGCCCCTCAATATTGACTTTTCAGGAGGAAATATTAAGTATTTTTATTTGATCCTTACCAAAAAGTATGTCACAACAATAGACCGAGTTAATACAGTGTATCTTAGTTAATATTTAAAAGATACTCGTGTTCTGCATTTTTTTTCTAAAACTGTATATCAGAACTTTACTGTATAGGAAAAAGCAAAATTTTGTGATTTGCTCAGGGTTTTTTAAAAATTTCAATCAAACAAGCCACCTGAAAACTGAATGAGCATTAGCTATCTTTGGTGTGTTTGCACAACAAAAAAAAAACTAGTGATTTCCAATTCTGATGGCCGCAAGAGCCAGCTAGAATATCAGAAATGAGTGCAGCTGTCAGCTCATAAGACACAATAAGGTGGTGTGAGCTGTACCCAGTCAGTGAGGACCTGTGCCATCCACAGGTCCTTTGGACACTTGAAACTTTTAGAAATTTGTACTTTGTAAGCTTGAATTCCAAAACATTAGCATTTATTAAGTTGAATGAGAAATTCTAATTTTTGTAGATTTAGAGATCACAGTATGTTTGCATTTCATACTTAACACACTTAAAAAAATAGAACATATCTACACTGGGGATAATAGTTCCGTGTTGTTGAATGAGCATTTGCCTAGCATGCATGAATCCCTGGGTTTGAGCTCCAGCAATACAAAGAAAATTTTAAAAAGACTCTAATAAAATACATATGCATTGACAAATTTTGATTTAGGTAATCTTATCATTGAATATTGAGGCTGATACTTGAGATTTACTAATATCCTCTTCCATTATTTCACCACTTTTTAGTGCTGCCAGTGAGAAGGCAAAATTTAGATTATTTTGCACCAGTTGTTAACATTTATTAAATATTCACTGTATAAGTGCAAAATACTAAGTGTAAATACTCACTGTATACTAAGTGAAATAAAATCTTTTTGTATATTATTAAATTTCCTCATGAATTCTGTGTGTTCTTTATTAACCCCACTTACAAAGAAGACAGGATTAATGAGATTAACTATCTTGCCTAAAAGTACCTAGATAGTGAGTGGTGCTGTGTAGAATTATCACATGTAATTTATGTTAATCCCTTTGAAAAGATGGTATACGGTGTAAGTTCTCAATATGACACCTTAACACATCTTATGTTAACTTTAGTATACCCATAAAAATATTGGGATAAAAAGTCAAAGCCAAAAACAAAAGTCAAAGCCAATAGAGTATAAAATTATATATGCAGTATGATTTTCACTTATATAAAAATGAGGAAAGGAAAAATTATAGAAAATATGACTGAGGGCCTGGGAGATAGCACAGTAGAATTAAGTGCCTGCCTGGCAAGTGCAAGGTCCTGAGTTCAATCCCTGGTACCGCAAAAAAAAAAAAAGAAAGATAAAAGAAAATGCAACTGGAAAGAAAGTAAATGGTAGGATTTTCTTTTATCCCAAAGTGTTTTTATTTAATAAGACTATTAAATAGGACTAAAAGTATAGCTCATTGGTAGAAAATGCTTGTTTAGCAGGAGCAAGCTCCTCAGTTCAATCCCCAGAACTTAAAAAAAAGAAAAAAGAAAAAAAAAAAAAATATATATATATGATCTATATCAAAATGGGAATGCTATGGTACTTTGGTCCATTAATTAGTTTTAAAAGAAAATCAAATTGCAGTAAAATTCTTCTTGTAAGCCAAGTGTATGGCATATCCCAATAGTCCCAGCACTTAGGAAGTTTAAGCAGAATTACAAGTTCGGGTTCAAAGCAGCCTGGACTACACAGGAAGACCCTGTCTCAAAATAAATTAATTATTTTGTCCTGGTGTCCATTTCAATATGTAACATTAAAGCAGAAGACAGTGTGGGTTAGTGTAAAATCTAGTAAGTTAGGATGAAATTGGGAACAAGAATGGAAGAAATTTTAAAAATAAGGTTCAAAATTTATTATTCTATTCATGAATGAAACAAAATGTAGACTGGGAAAATATTTTTAATATATTCGTTCCTTGTACTGTTTAGAGTAGTAATTTTTAAATGACAAAAAATAACTTGCTGATTAATAGACCAAAGTAATGTAGCCTTCCCATTCTGACATATGACATCGTGTTAGGTTGGGGAGCAAAGGCAGGTACCTCCTGGACTGCTTAGCAGCATTCGTTGGTTATAGTATATATGAGGCTGTATACTTTGATGACAGATGTAGAAAAAGCATTAAACAAAATTTAGCAACGTTTATGATTTTAAAAGTTCCAGAAAACTAGAAATAGAAGGGAACTTCTTTAGCCTGATAAAGGGCATCTATAAAAATCTATAGCTGCTGGACATGGTGGTACATATCAATAATCCTAGCACTGAGAGGGTGAGACCAGAGGATCTTGAGTTTCAGGCCAATCTGGACTAATAGCAAATTCAGGTCCATCCCGGACTACACAGTGAAACCCTGTCTCAAATTAAATAAATAAAATAATCCTAAAGTTAGCCACAAAACGTACTGGCAAAAGTTTGAATGCTTTCCCTCGAAGATCAGGAACAAAATCAGGATGCCTATTCTAACAACATCCATTTAACCTATTTTATTACAGATCCTAACCAGTGCAACAAGTCAAAATATAAGACACAAAATCTGGAAAGGTAGAACTAAACTGTTTTTTACTTTTAGTTGACTTGCATAGAAAACACAGAGTTAATAACAAGACTATTGTAACTCATGGATCTTTAAGTAAATAAATGACAGGAAAATTTTACTTTTACCAGCCATGGTGGCACATGCCCATGATCCCAGTACCAGGGAGCCTGAGACGGGAGGATTGCCACAAGTTTGAGGCTAGCTTGGGCTAGTTAGGTCAAGGCCAGTCTGAACTACATAGCAAGACCCTGTGAATAAATAAATAAATAAATGGCTTTTCATGTTGTACCTTACTTGCCATTAAGTAAATTAAAGGTAAAACAAAGCTGGATTTTACTGTAGTTCTAGCTATTTGGGAGACTGAAGCAGGAACATTGCTAGAATCCAGGAGTTAAAGGCTAGCCTGGACAACATAATGAGACTGCACCTCAAAATAAAAAGCACACACAAATACCCAAACTTAAAAAAAATGAGAAATCCTTGGGCTGGGGAGCTGGCTCAGTAGAATAAGTGCTTCCCTGGCAAGCGCAAGTGCCTGAGTTCAATCCCCGGTTCTGCAAAAAAAAAAAAAAAAGAGATACCCTTGTACTCCATATCCTTCAGAATGGCAGGAAATTAAAGATATTAATGTAGAACTGGAATTGCATGAATTCACATGATATGCTTTTGAGAGAGGGGTGTAAATTGTTTGCACCCTGTGGAGCAGTGAGACTGAAGATTAGCATATCCTCCAGCCCACCAGTTCCTTTACTAATGATGCATGCCAGGAAACTGGTAAAACTAGAAAACACAGACATGATGTGCACTGCAGCGCATTTGGCCATTTAAAAAGTTTTTGGGGGCAGGTGAGGTGGCTCACTGGTCTAAAGCACCTACTTAGAACAAGCTAAGCTAAGCAAAAGCACAGACCACGGTTCAATCCCCAGCACCACATGCCAGCCAGCCCCGCCCCCTGGTGGACTGAACTGGCCACACACACACTAAATAAATAAATAAATAAAGTTATAAAAAGTTTTTGAGGGGCTGGAGAGATGGCTCAGTGGTCTAAAGCACCTACTTGAATCAAGCTTGGCGAAGCACAGGGACCACGGTTCGATCCCCAGCACCACATGCCAGCCAGCCCCGCCCCCTGGTGGGCTGAGCTGGCCACACACACACACAATAAATAAATGTAATAAATAAAAATAAATAAATATTTAAAAAAAAAAAAAGTTTTTGAAGGGGCTAGAGTAATGCTGAATGCTAGTATATACAAGGCCATGTCTTCAGCCTCTGGCACTGAAAGGATGTAATAAACCTTGTTGGTAGATATGCACTGTATGTGTTTTTATGATTCTCCAAGGTATCTAAGTTCTAAATATAATCTTTGAATGTTGAAGTATATCACATCCAAAACGATGAAAATAAAACAGGAAAGGATGTGAAGACAGTGAATGAGACAGTTCTTTCAGACTGCCATCCTTGCTTTCTAGGATTCCAAGCCTCTGTGACACACATTGCTCCAGACTTTTTCCTTATGTTACCCAGGATCCATTTCCGATTAGCTACCAATGTTTGATTGGGTGGGTTACCTTAGAAGGCTTTCATTTCTGTACTGACTTTGCTGCCTGACTTAGCGAATGGTTGCACCCAATTAGATAACTTAATTTCTCACCTTAAGTTTCTTTGACCTTTAAAAGAAGCTGCAATACATTCTTCACTCATTAATAGGCAAATATATATATTGCTTATATACATGTATGATGTTTTACTCTGTTCCCATCAGGTATACCAAGTACAAAGATATGCTGATGAAGATACTTGCTTTAGCAGTGATTCTCAATTGCCTAATACAACTTTATCTTTTTGGTAATATTATAGGATTAAGCCTAGAGCCTTGTGTATACTTGGTACATGTCCTACCCCTGACGTCCTTTATTGAAAAATTTTAAAATTTTGAGACAGGGTCTTGGTAAGTTGTCCTTATTGCCCTCAAACTTGCAACTCTCCCGCTTCAGCCTCCTGAGTAGCTGGGATTATAGGTGTGCACTACCACTAACTAACTAGGTCTAGAGTTTATGCATCAGGCTGGGAAGCCTGTTTCTCCTGTTTCTACAGCATCGCCTTCACAGGTGATTTCAATATTCATGAGTGGTTGAGAATCTTTATTGTATAGTTTATGTATTGTGGGAACAGGAATTATGTTTCTTTATTCCTCACCACATCCCTAAGCATTGTTGAATAAGTAAATGAAAATGAAAAACAAAACAAAACGTTATCCCTGCTCTTTTTTTTTTTTTTTTTTTTTGCGGAACCGGGGATTGAACTCAGACCTTTGCGCTTGCCGGGGAAGCACTTATTCTACTGAGCCATCTCCCCGGTCCCCCTGCTTTTCAAAGCTAATAGCTAACATAGACTGAGTGCTTAGTCCATGTTAGTTAAATCATTATGTAGTGAAGCCTAAATTTTCATTTCTATTCTTAATCACTTATCTTCTTCTTTGTGTGTGTGGGGAGTGAGTACCGGAGATTGAACTCAGGACCCTGTGCTTGCCAGGCATGCACTTATTCTACTGAGCTATCTCTGTGGCCTGATAATCACTTATCTTCTTTTTTTTTTTTAATCACTTCTTAAGAGAAAATAAAATTAACATAATTTGTATAGTCTCAATTTCCAGTTGCCCACAGAGCTCTAAGAATGTTCTACCATAAATTCAAAGTCTGCATTCCCAAATTTGAAAGCCGCCATTTTTACCTCTCGTCTCCCTCTTCATTCTACCTCTTCCCAACACTTTTTCCAACAGTCTCATTTTTGTCATTGATATTTTTCTTCTGTTTGCCCAAGCAGAAAATTTACAGTTGATTCTTTATTCTGTATTTTTTTTTTTTTTTTTTTTTTTTTTTTTTGGAACAGAGATTGAATTTAGGCCCTTGCACTTGCCAGGGAAGCGCTTATTCCACTGAGCCATCTCCCTGGCCCCTCTGTATATGTTTTGAATTATGCCATTTTTTTTTTCTAATCCATGTGTTGTGGTCAAAATTTAAAGCCAAATCCCTATGATTTTTTGGGGGTTTTTTTGAGATGGGTCTCTCTCTAGTCCAAGCTAGTGTGAGCTCCTCATCTCCCTGCCTCAGTCTCCTGTATGCTGCGATCGCCAGCGTGCACACAGCATTGTCTGCTCTCTGTATTCTTCATGAGCCAAAGTGGTACATGGTTGAAAACACAGACTAGTGTCAAACTGTACAGATTTGTTTCCACCTGTGTCATTACTGGTTTAGTGACCCTAGGAGCACTGTGCTGGCCACCAAAACTGAGTGTGGTGGCACACACCTGTAATTCCAGGTTACTACGAATCTGAGCTGCATAGTGAAACCCTGCACCAAATAAGCACAAGAGTTTTTTTAAAAAAAAGCTCAATGTACCTGTCAATTTTGAGAATAAAGTATTTTGCTTTATGTTTAATAGTAAAACTATTTTCCTTTGAAGTCTGGGAAATAATTTTAGGACTTCTTTAGAATTTCATTATTGCTATTTGAAAAGAAAACTAACAGTTCAATCCCTGGTTCCGCCAAAAAATAAAAATAAAACTAACAGAAACATGGAGTGACAGGGAAGCAAGTTAATGTGTTCTTAGTGAAACGACTAGGTCTCCTAACTGGAATAACTTCCAAAGGCCATGTGCTGGGTTGCTGTTTCTCAGAATTGGCTAAGCACAGCAGTCACCTGGAGCACTTGTAAAATACAGGTATCCAGGCTCTAATCAGACTTCCTGAGTCAGTGTCTAAGAAAGAAGACTGAGAATGTGTTTTCCTTTTTTATTTCCATTTAAAAACCTTGGGTGGCGGCTGGGGATGTAGCTCAGTGGTAGCCTGCTTGCCTAGCATACACAAAGCACTCTGAGTTCAAAACAATCCTCAATACCAACACACACACACACACACACACACACACACACACACGCAGCAATAAAAGTCTTGGGTGGTTCTTGTAAGAAAGTTTGTAGTAATGCAGGTCTAGATGATGTGCTTTCTTTTCAAAGTTTTAACTAGATTTCTGTAGGCAAAATATTTTAATCCAGCTATTCATATTTCTTTGCCCTATTTCTAAAACACTTCAGGCCTGAGGACTTGCGCCGTGAATTTGGTCGATATGGCCCTATAGTAGACGTTTACATTCCACTTGACTTCTACACTCGCCGCCCAAGAGGATTTGCATATGTCCAATATCCTTTATTTTGTGTGCATGTAAATATACTGTGAACATGTGCTTATACATATATGTATTCAGGAGTGTATGTTGTAAAATTAACATTGCCTAACTAAATTTATTTATTTCTTTATCTCAGAAAATCTAAAGCAGTCCACAGTAGCTGGCAAGCGCCCCCCAGTTTGAACCAACTTGTTAGCTAGAATGCAAGCATAACCCAAGCAGGCGAGACAAAAGGCACCTAAAGTTCAAGCATCAAGGAGTAAAGAGGGAGGGTGGACACAGATATAAAGACCTGGAAGAGGGGAAGTCTTTATCAAGCAAAAGACAAAGCCAACTTTGAGACTTCGGCTTTCCTACATTTACTCAGAGTTCCAGAGTCAAAGCCAAGTCTGATTTTGTTGGTTCTGCATCTCTTATAAAGTCCATCTTGCAAGTCTTAAAGAGTAAAGGTCAAGGTTCAAGATCAAGTGACATTGAGGTAATTGCCAGTCTTATTTTATATTGCATTTCTTGAGCTTTTTTTGTTTGCTGTTTTTAAAAAACTAGTTAATAACCTCCTGAAATACAGCTATTTAACCCTTTACGTAGTTAATATACATTATATAAGGATTACTATTATATAACTTATATAGCTAAGGTAATTAAGTAGGTTATTTCAAACCAGTATATGTAACTGCAGATGTTTGCAGATTGCTTTTGTGGGTTTTTTCCTACTTATATCCCAAATAGTAAAAACAAAGGATAGGTTCAAACATGGCTATGATATTTGAAGGATTAAATCAGTTTTTATAAACTCAGTTGTATGTGTGCAACTCCGTTTTGTTTTGAAGCAGGTTCTTGCTATTAGGTGTGGTGACGCATTCCTGTAATCCCAGCACTTGGGAGGCTGAGGTAGGAGGATCCTTGTGAGTTCAAGGCCACAGTGGCCTGTGTACAGCAATAGCCTTAACTATGTAGTGAGGCCCTGTATCAAAAACAAAAACAAACACAAACAAACAAAAAGGGCCTTGCTATGTAGCTGAGGCTGGCCTTAAACTCACCGTAATCCTTCTGCCTCAGCCTCCTCAGGGCTGGGATTACAGGCACTACTTGTATGTACATGATCTTATTTATGTAACTTATCCTAAATGGCATGATTATAAATTTTTCTAATGAAAGATAAATTTTAATTTCAGAGTAAAGGTTTCCGTAAGCTGATATTTGCAGTGGAAATCCTGATGGATCCTTTTTATGAAAAGAAGGAATTTAGGCATAGTGACACAGGCCTGTAATCCCAGCAGTCTGGGAGGCTGAGGCAGGAGATTATACATTGTCAGCCTGGGCAATTTAGCAATTTATTGAGATCCTGCCTCAAAATAAAATATACAAAAGGACTGTAGCTCAGTGAGAAGACCCTGAGTTCAATCCCTGCTACCATTAAAAACCACAAGAAAGGAATGAGTTCTAAACAGCCTTTAAAAAAAAATAATTCTAATTTGGGACTTTTTTTTTTTTCTCAAAGGTTGTTTCAAATTATACAGGCATGTAGTAGCTATACTAATATATATGTTAAAAGTATAGTTAAGCAGGATGTGGTAGCACACACACACCTGTTATCCTAGCACTCTGGGAAGCTGAGACAGGAGTTTGAGCTGAGCCTATGTAACTTAATGATTAAGTGAGTTCCTGTCTCAATCAAATAGGCCAAGGAATGTAGTTCAGTGTGGAAGGCCCTGGGTTCAATTTCCAACATTGCAGAAAAGTTACATTTTTTGGTTTGTTTTTATTTTTAGATTTATTCTCCTAAATAATAATATTTATATAATCATAAAAGTAAATTTCATTCTGACTGTTCATATTAGAACTGTGACTTAATAATAGAACTTGTTCCCATTAATTTCATTTTATATGTGTAATACCTTAAAAATGCTTTTACTTGCTATCTGATGTTCCAAGTGTCCTTAACAGCTAGTCATGTTCGAAGATGTTCGAGATGCTGAAGATGCTCTTTATAACCTCAATAGAAAGTGGGTATGTGGCCGTCAGATTGAAATACAGTTTGCACAAGGTGATCGCAAAAGTAAGTGTGACTAAACATTAAATCTTTTTTTGTTCAGCAAAATGAGTTACAGCAATGGCAGATTTTTCAAATTTAAAGTTCTTTCAGTGAGTGGTACAGTTGGCTGTTACTGTGGTTTTCAAATAATGAATTGTTACAAATCTTGTTTCTCACATTTCAGCACCAGGCCAAATGAAATCAAAAGAACGTCATCCTTGTTCTCCAACCGATCACAGGAGATCAAGAAGCCCTAGTCAAAGGAGAACTCGAAGTAGAAGTTCTTCATGGGGAAGAAACAGGAGGCGTTCAGATAGCCTTAAAGAGTGAGTGCCAAATAGAAAATTGAAAACCTGTTCTGGCTGGGCATAGTGGTACATGTGTGGAATCCCAGCACTCAGGAGGCTAAGGGATCGTTGAGTTCGAGGCCAGCCTGGGCTACAACGTGAGTTCAAGACTAGCCTGAACTGCATAGTGAGCTCCTGTCTCAGAAGTTACCAAACAAATACACATAAACACACACACACACACACACACACACCTTGTTCATTTTTTTTCTGGAAAACATCTTAAGGGTTTTATTGAAAAGAGATCAAGGGCCAGGAAGATGGCTCAGTGGAATAAGTGCTTCCCTGGCAAGCACAAGGGCCTGAGTTCAATCCCTGGTTCCACAAAAAAAAAAAAAAAAGAAAAAAAAAGAAAAAGAAAAGAGATCATTTGAATCATTTTGTTTAGTATATATAAATAATGAACTTTTATAGAAGGGTATGCTCTTTTCTATCATATATTATTATTTAACATAGGTTTATTAGATACATTCCAGTGTTTTTATTTCATGATCAATTTTAACTTTTAAAGTGGAAAGATACTGTGTATAGGATGTGCCCCAAAAATGTGTACACATTTCAGTAGTTCGCCAAACTAATAAACATGTGGAAGCTAATGGCTACCACTTTGAATATGTCTTATAATTGTAGAGGCCAAAGGTAACTTGTGTTAATCTCATGATGTCTCAATAAATTTAGTATTAAAATGTTTATACAAGTTTTCCTTTTCCTGGGGCCAGGGAGATGGCTCAGTAGAATAAGCGTTTCCCTGGCAAGTGCAGGGGCCTGAGTTCAATCCCCGGTTCCACCAAAAAAAAAAAAGTTTTCCTTTTCCTGATGTACACATATTTTGGTGAGTTCTCTATATACCAAGGAAAAAGAAAGACATAGATATATAGATATAGATATAGATGTAGATATAGATATAGATAGATATAGATCTATCTATATCTATATCTATATAGATATATAGATATATATATTTGACTGACAAGGTAAACAATTCTAAGTAAAATTTTCCTAAATGAGCCAAATAGTTCAGAATCTTGCTGGGCATGGTGGTGTATGCCTATAATCCCAGCATTCAGGAGGCTGAGGAAAGAGGATTTCCAAGAGTTTGAGGCAAGCCTGGGCCACAGTGAGTTCAAGGCTGGGCTGAACTACATAATGAGACCCTGTCTCAAAAAAAGTTATCAAAATCTTGAAATCTGAAAATTATTACAATTAAATACAACATTATTATGAAAGAGAATTGATTAACATTAATATAAGTGAATTTACTTGAAAGGTAAATTACCAAGAACAAATTCCAAGTAGTGTTGTAGGACATAAGTAGTAAACTTGAGGGGAAAAGATCTTCGCAAGTTAACCGTTTTGCTTAATGATGAGTTGGTGTCCATTAGAATAATAATAAGTCACAATTGAAATTAATTACATGGTGCAGTTAGTAAAATAGTAACTGGAATTGTATTAGAATGCCTAAATTTTTAGTAGTACATACCTTCAGTTTTAATCCTTCAATTTTTCACAGGCATGTAGAATTTTAAAATGAATTCTATCCTCAAAGAATGGTCATCATTTAAAACAAATCCTTGCTCTCTGATTAAGTTGGCTGATCTGGACCACATGTAGTATGTGTAAACTACATAGGCCCACAGAGCTTCAAACCAAAGCTGGTCACCAAGGCTTATTTACTTCTACTTCTTGTCTATTTTTCAACTCCCAGAGATTGGACAAGAGAAAGTCTTCCATAGTGTGCACATACCAGAGCTAACCTCATTGTCCCAAGCTCCTAAAGACCACACCAAGGTGGACTAGCCTGTCTTTATCTAAGTGAAGGAGAGACACATGGAGAAGGAACCATATCCACATTTCTGACTTCTAATGTCTTAAGAAAATTACTGGGGCCAGGGAGATGGCTCAGTAGAATAAGCACTTGTCCAGCAAGCACAAGGGCCTGAGTTCAATCCCCAGTTCTGCCAAAAAAGAAAAAGAAAATTGCTTAGTTTCTGATTGCTAGAAAATGTGACCTATTTAGAACGCTCAGGTATTGAGTCATCACACAGGTACCTTTTTTCTGGTGTAAACCAAATGATTTACTTTTGGCCCATCTTTGGGTAGGTAAAGAAGATGGGGAAGCTTTAAACTCCTTTGATAAGCCAAAGGACCCTAAGTCAGGACAGGCCATTAATAAATGAAATACTATTTCTAAACAACTATAGCATAATTGGAACTTGAAACTTGCTGTCTGTCCTCTGGTATAATAGCACTACAGATCTGCCTTGCATCTTAAAGTAATCCAGTTGTCCCAAGGCTAAGGGATACTGATTGGCAGCTTGAGATTTCAACTACAATAGAGTTTTTAAGGTGTGTGTGGTAACAAGTGAATGTAATAATGGCACTTTGGAGGCTAAAGCAGGAGGGTCAGCATGGGCTACATTGTGATACCTTGTGTCAAAAAATGAAACCAAATATGAAGTTTCTATCCCAAATACGAAGTTATATCTATTTTTTAGCTTGCATGCCGTATGTACAGAACAGCAGCACTGATGCCAAACCGGCTTCAGGCTTCATAAAAGGCATGCATATATTGTAAGGGAGTGATATTCAAAAATTTTAAATTACTATGAGTTTATATATTTATCTATTTGTATACTTATATATATGCATGCATAGTTTACACTTAAGTATAAAATGGGGCTGTCTCAGTTACTTTTCTCTCATTGGTGGGACAAAATACCTGATGCCCAAAATTAAGGAAGGAAAGGTTTATGTAGCTCACAGTTTGTGGCGGTTTCAGTCCATATTCTGCTGGTTCCAAGGCAGGTTGGCCCATGACAGGGCAGCAGTTCATGGCGGTAGAGAACAGCAAAGAGCAAAAGGAGCAGTGCAGAGAGCAAGCCTCTTTCCCTCCCTCATATTGTATGCAGGTTGTCCACCCAGGACGGGTGTCGCTCACACCCATAACCCAGCCCTGGATCACGAAGTAATCACAAACTGTAGAAGCTGCCCAGGACTCCATGAGGCTTTGGGGGAACATCTAGACACAAACTGGAACCAGTGAATGGAATAAAATGATTTAGTCTGTAAATCAAAGATGAAAGTAAACCTAATATGTTGTATCTAAGCAGCACCTTTCTAAATTACTCAGTAATAATTTGCTGACCTTGATGGAAAAGATTGTTCCTTTGATTCCTTAAGAATTTGTGGGCCGGGCCGGTGAGATGGCTCAGTGGTCTAAAGCACCTACTTAGAACAAGCTTAGCAAAGCACAGGGACTGCAGTTCAATCCCCCAGCACCACATGCCAGCCAGCCCCGCCCCCTGGTGGGCTGAGCTGGCCACACACACACACATACACACACACAAATTAATAAATAAAAGAATTTGTGGGCCGCCGGGGAAATGGATCAGTGGAATAAGCGCTTCCCTGGCAAGTGCAAGGACCTGAGTTCAATCCCTGGTTCTGCAAAAAAAAAAAAAAAAATTATAGGGGCCAGGGAGATGGCTCAGTGGAATAAGCGCTTCTCTGGCAAGCGCAAGGGCCTGAGTTCAATTCCCGGTTCCGCAAAAAAAAAAAAATAATAATAATAATAATATAAGTAAAATAAATAAAAAAGAATTTGTGGGCCGGGGAGATGGCTCAGTGGAATAAGCGCTTCACTGGCAAGCACAGGGTCCTGAGTTCAATCCCCAGTACTGCATTAAAAAAAAAAAAAAGAATTTGTTTTCAGTGACATTAATTAGAGCCTTAGTTACCCAGTTATTTCTCTTGATTGATTTAAATAAGGTGAATAAGGCAGGAAGTTCACATCATTTCCTGCCTTCTCTTACAAGTAAATTATCACACTTGTTTTGGGAAAAAAAGTGCCCATTAATTGTCCCAAATCATCCTCATCCTGGAGTATCAGGCATAGAAGGACCACATCTTCAGGACAGATTACTTATAAGACCGTCTCTTAGGGGCCGGGGAGATGGCTCAGTGGAATAAGCGCTTCCCTGGCAAGCGCAAGGGCCTGAGTTTAATCCCCGGTTCCACCAAGAAAAAAAAAAAAAAGATCATCTCTTAGCCTCCTAAGCTAATTTGTCTCATTTTAAAAACTTACAGAGGGGCTGGGGAGATGGCTCAGTAGCATAAGCGCTTCACTGGCAAACGCAAGGATCTGAGTTCAATCCCGTTCTGAAAAAAAAAAAAAAACTTACAGAGGTAGAATAAGTGCTTCACTGGCAAGCTCAAGGGCCTGAGTTCAATCCCCAGTGCCGCCAAAAAAAAAACAAAATAATAATAATAATATAAGTAAAATAAATAAAAAAGAATTTGTGGGCCGGGGAGATGGCTCAGTGGAATAAGCGCTTCACTGGCAAGCGCAAGGGCCTGAGTTCAATTCCCGGTTCCGCAAAAAAAAAAAAATAATAATAATAATAATATAAGTAAAATAAATAAAAAAGAATTTGTGGGCCGGGGAGATGGCTCAGTGGAATAAGCGCTTCCCTGGCAAGCGCAAGGGCCTGAGTTCAATCCCCGGTTCCACCAAGAAAAAAAAAAAAAAAGAATCTCTTAGCCTCCTAAGCTAATTTGTCTCATTTTAAAAACTTACAGAGGGGCTGGGGAGATGGCTCAGTAGCATAAGCGCTTCACTGGCAAACGCAAGGATCTGAGTTCAATCCCGTTCTGAAGTGGAATAAGCGCTTCCCTGGCAAGCGCAAGGGCCTGAGTTCAATCCCCAGTGCCGCCAAAAAAAAAAAAAAATCAAGGATATATAGATATATATAGATATATATATGCATAATGTCTACTCCAAATATATACAATATAGGAACTAAGTCTCTTTGCCTTCAGTGTATGTAGGAAGAAAAACCTAAGTCTTGCTTTCACTAGACTGTGAATTGACTCATTGTGTGTTTTTGTTTTATGAGACAGGTTCTCGCTGTGTAGCACAGACTGGCCTTGAGCTCACTGTATGGCCCTGCCGGGCCTCCAGCTTGGGGTGACCTTCCTAC